AGGGGCGTTCTCTCCTCCAAAGACAGATGTGATTTTGTGCATGTTTCCCATGGTTTCTGTAATCCTTGATATCCATTTGATGGGTGATTAGCCCTTCAAACTTCACCAGAGCCCCGTTAGCCAGGCGTTTTCAGGGTTCCGTGCAGGCCTTCATGGCTACCGTAGCGGCCCGGAGGAACGAATCCTCCACCATACTTCGCCCTGGACGGCAATCCCCTACTTTCCTGTTACCAGCTACCAGCATATTTCGCGACACCTTAATTTCGCGATTTTGCGAAAAGTTTTCATTTTGACTCACTTTAATTTCGCGATTTTGAGTGAGACACACTTTATTTCTTTGTCAATGTTATTTAACATGTCCCTGAATTTGATCGAACAACTTAACCAACAATGTCCAAATAAACAGAAACGCAACTGATTATGTAAACAGTAACAAGAAAGATGTTCTCACAGTGTCTACAAGGCACGGTTTGTAGCTCATGCTTAAGTCACGTTTTCAGTGGTCAATTGACCTCATTATCCATGTACATTAAATATTCAGACTCCAAAGAGAAAATGTTGCCTTTCAGTTTCCTGACTGATGCTGTTTAATTGTTTGCGTAAATGTCTTGATACGGATCAACAGGCGGTAACACTTCTTTTCCAGAGGCGACAGTAAGAATGGAGGCATGTACCAAGAACGTTGAAGCAATTGAAATTTAAGCAACTGGTGGAACAGCACTACAAGGAGCAAGTAACTGGACAATTTGAGGATTATACAAAAGAAGTGCTACCTGGAGTGGAGACGTAAAGCAGTAGTGATGAAGAGGACCCGGCAGAACATTACCACAGAATAGTTCAAAATGATTGTTATAAACGTGTGTAATGGTAATAAAGTCGCTCTTTTAATTATTGACATAATGTGAGTCACTTAACTTTCGCGTCATGTTAATTTCGCGACACTTAAATTTCGCGATTTTTTTAAATCGCTAAATTCGCGAAATTAACGTGTCGCGAAAATTTCATGTAATAAGGTAATTAAAAATTAGAAGTAAGAGCCGGAGACTTGAAACAATTTCTGACACTGCTATGGTGTGTGCCGCATAAGAGGATTCTTTTAAACTCCAGAATCCCTATTAACATGACGGTCTGTACATACTCAGACACTAAGTCGTGAATGTCAGGTTCTGGGGTAGCCTACAAACAGATTCCCGCCTGTTGCGCTAAGTCGAATTTTGCAGAGTATGGTCAATGTTCAAAACGTTAATTTATCACTGTAATTTCTTCCAGAACATCCATACAAAAACAAATAGTCATCCATATTAGTGCCGAAAAAACAATTCATTGCACATACATTGAATTGTACTACTTGCTTGGACCTGGTCCGTCATTAATGTTGGCATGACAACAACAGAGTTATTCAAGCCTTTTGACGCAGTAGCCTTAACATATTTTACCTTATGATTGATGACTGAAAGCCAAGAAAATAGCTCGGTCAATCCGTAAAGTATTATATTCATGACTGTTCAAACCGCGAATAAAGCAGAATTCTATTCATTTCGCCTAAGAGGATTTGCGGTGTTCATGCCAAAGGACAAAACACTGAGAGAGAAATTTATTAAATGAATCATCGGAGACCGACAACTTCTACAACTACCCGTATGATGTTATTTTTGTGGCAAACATTCGCCGAAGAACAGTACGTGAAGACTCGAAAGAGTGTTTATTTTTATCTTTCACCGAGAATCGTCTTGATCCGTGCCCGTGTTTTGACGTGACAAATCTTCATCAATACTACACATCTGTCAAAGTTGACGTAATTAGCAGATTGAATTTTAAAATCAAAGTTTTATAAAGTAATCCAAGACACGTCACCACCTTTGAAATGGAATCCATGTGTTATCCACAGGGACAAACAGAACAGCAGCAAGCGTTCTTAAGCGGGTGGGGGGTCGGGGTTGGGGGGGAGTCCTCGTCAGAGAGGACGCTTACTGAAGAGGCTGGAATGATTGCTGTTAAGAGACTCATTTTCTTGTTAAATTTCTCCTTAAAAAATAAAGTCGTAATGGAGGTAATCGGTCAAAACAGATTTCGAACGTTTCTTGATACGAACCAAAAACCTCAAAGGGGCATACCGTATATACTCGATCAATCACGAAAAATTAATAAACGCCGCGGCGTTTAATCGAGTAAATACGGTAATTTAAATCTGTTTCAACGACAAAAAGAATAAAATCTGCAACAGTATGGGCAAATCCATAGAATGTTTGTGTCAATTTCGCATTTCAGGTACCTGAGGGTGGTGTCACAAACGACTAGTCACTGGGTGAAACTCCATATTGAATTATTTACCTCCCTGGAGGGGGGCTCCAATATAAAAGTGAAGGAGGTGCCCGTCGTACCTTTTAGGGAATTCGTGTTTTGATACCTCTTAGGGTGTTAACATCGAGAATGACCCGCGCTGACACCCGCGCTGACACCCGCGCTAGAGTTTGGAGAATTGAGCCAGAAAATGAAACAGGAACTACTGTATTTATTATTTATCTTTTGTAACGTTTCATTTGAAAATAGCCACTTTGATTAGGACACAGATTTTTGACAATGTTTTCAAAAATCTTTACACGTAGAATCTCAATGAATTGTCTCAATTGCTACCTTAAAAAACTGTCACTACCTCGTGAACATGAATATGGCCACGCCCACAAAACGAGATTTTGGTTCCTTTTAGGGGTTCTTTTGAAAATTTCTGACGGGCATCCCGTCACCTGGATATGAGAGTCCCCGGCCCCCTGGGATTTAATCAACGGAAATCATTTTAGTGGTGTGGGAGTAGCAGGTCCATTCATCATTCAGGCTCGACTTCTCGATGAATGCCGACTTTTCGGCCGACACATTTTCAGAGCCGTGAAAATATGAAAACTGAGAGAACTGTCAAAGCGACTGAGCTTTTCAGGCCTCCTAGGAATTTGGAAAATCCTCTTTGAGAGGAGCGCATCTGGGAAAACAAAAACTGCTCATTGATTTGCATTGAAAGATTTAACTTTGCAATTTGATATGCAACGACAGTGATCTAGGGAGAGTTTAAATTAAAGAAGCTGGGGTTATTTTACCAAAAGAAAAGTATGTTGTCAACGTCGACGACTGTGTCTAATTAGTGAAAGTGTCTCGAACTTACTGTTTGAATAACAGGCTTGTTCCTAAGTGGTAGCATTAACAAAACAAAATCATGCGCCTAACAAATTTTAAATAGTACAAGAAGCGGCAAATCTCTGAGACAATTTCTTTATTATGTGACGACAAACTGAATGGAAAAAAGTCTGAATTTGATAACAGGTAGGGCGTTTGGCATATACCTCACTTCACTCTCCATGGTAAATTATTTCCAAAGCTTGTTAAATAATTTTTTACCTTCTATTTCGGGTGCTTGTTGTTTCAATAAGATTACAGATCAGTGGCGGCACACTTGAGACGGGCCACTTCAGTGTGCTTGGTAAATGTCCTCAAATCATCCACCCTGGTTCGGAATGTTCATTTCAAATATAAACTGCTCATGCTTTACCGTAAACAAAGGTTTAAGACATCGCAAAAACAAAAACAGATCCGCTTATAAGACGTATAAGGACTTTTATGTAACAATGCCTGTGACGTTTGTTAAAAGTTAAAATACGATTTTTTTTTTTCAGATCATTCTACCGTCATTAAAATCTTGAATGGAAAGTGACAAGGTCAAGGTCCCGAGTGGGCTTAAAATCTAAAACGTCTAATTTTGGAAGTATTCAGTTATCCGTCACGAAATCATAAATAGTTGGTTTCTGTACTCGACAACATTCACTGAACAGATGTACCACTCCATTAAACAAGTCAAATTAGTTTCTTTTCATTGTTCTTATGTCTTACCAGACTACTGTTTCCTTATGATTCTAGTTTCGTATAGCTAATCGAAGTTAGTATCAAGATACTTTCTGAGAACAATATATTCAAGGACATTTGTGTCTCTTGACAGACTTCGGAAAACACGTAAGCCAACTGCAGGTACTTAGGCAAACATTTCTCTTTCACTACGTTAAAGGCTACCTGTTCTAGGTACACACGCTGTCTTATAAGGCTGACTGTTCGCCTGCACATGACTGTTACTTATACCAAGAGAAACTACCAGCAAATAAACGATTAGCAAAAAATGACGACTATGTTTCCCGAATACCAGTGACTGCACTGAAAATACACTGGATTTGTTTTTATGTTCACGAAGTGACCCGGACGAAGATAAAACGTCGATGAAATGGAAAAGAACCAGCAACTTCTAAACGGTTTATGGGAAAGAAAATCGGTCCCATTGAGTATTCAAGGATATTTACTAACAATAAGCTGATGAAGTGATGTATGCAGATTCGATTAAGGTACAGTGTCCGCTGAAATCCTACTTTAGATGATTGTGTATGTGCATACAATAGACAGCTTAATTGTGAGCGTGTCCGTGGCCAGTTTAACACCACCAAGCCTCAGGAAGCCGGGTTATCGCGGTGTATTTTAGGTTTTCCACCAGAAAACACGTACTCCATGCATGAGGTCTGCAGCTTCCTCTCCGCATCAGTAACAACTACCCTCTGGGCTTATTATCTACCGAACATTTTCTTTTGTTTCCATCTGAAAAAAGAAATTCAAGCCGCCTACGTACCACGCTCACTTTAAACTTCTGTCTGCGTACTAAAGTCACGCTTTAGATTTGATTGATTAGAAGAACAACCATAAGTATCAAGATTAGATCCTTCAATAAAAACTGACAATATTGACTCGCGGCCAAGTTCGACTGCCGACAAAACACAGTGAAAAGAATCAAAGCACTGTGGACGTAAAACAGAAAAACACAAAATGCAGTCACAGGTGTCTAGTAGTGCAGTGTGAAATTATCTCGAGTTTACTTGCGCGTAACTAGCATGAACCCTCAGTATCTTTACGAGTAGGAATGTTTCAAGGTGACAAGGGTGAAACACGAATGGAGAAAACATCTACGCCGCACTTACCATTTCCCAAACCACAAGGCTCCTTTACGTCTTCGAAGTCGATACAACAGTCCCCAGCCGTCTCGCAGAATTCATCACAGAAGCACAGAGTGTTGTGAACGAAGTCTTCCATTCCACAACTGCTGTTTCGTCCCTCACAGCAATGCAAAAATCCTCCAGTTTCTCTCTGATCACAGCACTGTACTGGACCTCCCTCTTCATTTTGAACGCAGGCGCCGTAAGCCAAAGCGAAAAACAAAAAATTAAGCGCTATGACGAACACCATTGAAGCCTGATGTTTGTCCGTGTACTCCATTGCGGCAA